TCCACACTGCTGTGTCCATGTGTCACGAATATATGTGCATCTAAATTCTCTGATTAATCTCCCTGCCCCCACTTCCCACCCCTGCCTCCCTCTGAAATTCGTTCGACTGCTCCATGGTTCCATATCTCTGTATATTATTCCTTTTTGACAGCTTTATGATAGCTTTTGCTATTACTGCCTTAACTTCTTTACTGCGCAAGTCCCTCTAACTTTCTTCACATATCTCCTTCTACTAATCTGTATCATTGTTACCTTTAAAACCATAACCAAAAAACTGTCCTTTTCTAGAAATCTTTGCTTAATTAATTAATTTTAGTCTAGCCTCTAATCCCCATGCACTCAGCATTCCTAGTTATTAGGTTTTATCATTTTTTTCACACTGCTTAATGAAGTTATTTAAACCTTTCTATGCATATCCTTTCTCAATTTCACTATGAATCCTTGAGACATATTGCATGACCTACATTTATTTTCCTTTCCCCAGATATCCCTATGGCGATGCTTCATCGCACCAGCACCAATGCATGCCTTCGCTTCTAAAACTAAAAGTTACTGGAGAGAATGCTCATAACAGCAATGCCAGGCAGAAAAATGACAAGGAGGAAACTGCTGAAAAGAAAGTAAAATACAGTTGAGGCTTAAGGTTCAGTCTAGGTCATTTTAATAAATTCACTTTATTTTAAGGGACCGATTTTCACCAATTTGTTTTCAATTTTGAGAATTTTAGTAGTCATTGTCGTGAATAGAGTATGAGGCATTAAGACTTTACATCAAGGAGTTAAAATAAATATAAGTGAATCTGTCAAATAAGAATCCTTTAATCCTAAAACTTTGAGGTGGAAATAGGAAAAACAGTATTTCACAATGAAAGAGCTATGTTCTTATCAAAATGATCTTTAAAATCTATCTATGTATCACTATTTTCATAGAAATGCAAACTTACAGAAAACTTAAACTTATCTGGATGAAAGCAAATACAAGTATAAAAATAAAACAGCATGAAAGCCTAATTTAAATCTAATTAGTTCAGTCATCTTCCTTTACATTCGCATCTTGTCTTCAAAATTATAATTTCCTGCAAAATAAGGCCAATGTAAAACTTTTTTTTTTTTTTTTTGGCACCTCAAATAAATACTTTAGTTTGTGTTTCATAAAGAAAAGAAAATCAGCAGAAAAATCAATGTCAGTGATTCTCAATAAGTACCTTATTTATGGACTACCTGACTCAAAACATCTTGCTCTAATAAAGGCTGACATATACTAAGAGTCTCCTATGGGCCGAGAATCTCACACACATCATGTCAGTCTAAGTTCCACAATGACTCGACAAGGTCAACACACTATTATATTTATCAGATGTTTGGAATGTTTGACCAACTTTGACAGAGTTTCAAGGGAGTTCAATAACTTGGCCAAGATCAAATATTTGGAGAAGCAGGGATTAGAGCCTCAACACAAGCATCAAAAGGCCTAGATTTGAAGTTTGTATTAATTTGGTGAGTTATTTAAATTCTGAACAACCTTAGTATCCTTATTTGTAATGTTGGGATGACAATACCTATAGACATGGGGGAAAATACTATAACTTATGTAAAAATGCTGGGCATACACTTGTTGTTTAAAAAACAGTCACTTTCACCTAAAAAAACAAACATGAAATTTCAATAAAATAAATATTTTATAGTATAGCATTTTCAAGACATTTAAATAAGGCATCATGAAAATCAAGTTTCTTATACAAAGAGTTATATTAACTAGGAAGTCCAACTTAGAGAAAAACTTTTTTCTTTAATGGAAGTATCTATTAAACTATTCTGTTTACTATTGTAATTCTCAAACTATGTTTGATATTCTTTTCATGGTCTGTCTCCAATAACATTTTCAAACTCTTCAGAAAATAATGCTCTGATTTGTAACCCTCATTACAATTTGGGTAATTTCACTCTGTATGTATAAAGTCAAGGGGCTTCCTCTTAAGCATACAAAGAATACTTTCCAGACAAGCACTAATATTATGCTGATACTAATAAGAAACACACCCACTATACAATAAGAAAAAAAAAACACCGGGGATGAGAGCATTCTAGACACCTTTTGTCTTACTTATATATAAACTTAATTGAGGCTTACAATTAATTTTTGAAATTGTTCTACATCGACCTTAATGTTTAAAGCTTCATTTCTACCTCATCAGTAAATCCCATACGTCATTCCTGTTAGCAAGCAGCTGGCTTTGTAAATGTGATGTCTCGTAGTTCCTATTTACAGTCCTAATCACATCATTGATTTCAGTAATCTTTCAGTAAGAGTGATTATCAATGCTGTCAAAAGCAGAAGCTGGGATTCAATATTTTTTTTCTTTTTTCCTTTTTTTATAAACCTGGATAATTAAGATTAAGCTTAATAATGTGACTCTAGAGGCCTCTGGGTAATTAGAAGTTGCCTGTGGTTGAGTATTAATACAGTAAAGACACCATCTTCATTTGAAATTCTATACACACTCCAAAGTACTTACTTAGACAAGCAACAAATGGTTAAATAAAAATGATAAAGGTATTCCCTCATCATAACACAGAGGTAACTAGGTTAAAAAAATTTTTTCAGACTGTAAAAACCACCACATAAAATATTCTCTGATTAATTTCTCTCCTGTAATTTAACAGCCCTAAGATCTATTTTGTCTACAAAGGTAAAAAAAACCCCTAAGGCTGTCACCTTTTTACTAACTCCGGTGTGTCTTTAATACACTATGGAATTAACAATGAACAGTGTTCTGGAAAACAACAACAACAACAACAAAACCAAAACAAAACAGGATAAAACATATACCAAAAGGATAAAGATGTTCTGGAGAAATCAGATTTTTCAATATCCAAAGCAGTGAAAGAAAAGGGTAAGATGAAGTAATGCATTTTGGTTTACAGAAAAAGAGGTCATGATGTAATAAAGACTATCATTCTTAATCAGATCTATTTGTTGGATTCTGAAGGAAAGTGTAGAACAAAAACATAAATCCAAAGGACTATTTATTTATCACTAAAAGACAATATTTGAAGGAGCTAAGAAGAATGTTAGTATGTTCAATGTTCATCACCACCACCTACCCATACTCAAGAGAAAAAAATATATATATTTGGAAGCAGTATCAAACACCATTGCCTAATTTAAAAATATTCCTGGACCTCTTATTGATCAATATCTCTTATAGAAAGGATGAGAGTGTAGCATCTGAACTGAAACAGTACTATTAGAAAATGATATCGTGGGCATTAGGATGTATAATTCATGTTGCTTTCACTTGCTCGGACCATTGTAAAAATCCATAAATCATTTTCTTGTTCATGTATTGCTTAAGTGCAATTTGTCATTTTGCATTAGAGGGCTGCTTCAGCTCATCAGTGCTTTTAATTCACTGTTTAGAGTTTAACAAAATGCTGGCCCTGTCTGATCACTTGAAAAGGCACTGAAATGTGAAAGCCACACCAGTGTTAACTAGGTTAAACAGAATAGAGAACATTTCTACTTTGAATATCAAGTAAAGCTTAATGGAATATCTAGTATTCTCAGTCCCCTAAAACATGGATTGGTTTGTTCTCTGTTGGTTCAAAGCATTAGAACACAGTAACTGAAGAATTACCTGAATGCTTACAATAGCATAGGCTATATCCCTCCCCCACCCCCCACCCCCCAAGAATCTGTGGCCAACATTCACTCTTTACTGTGAGTGAACAAAAGCTAACACAGTGTGCGTGGCATTGGCTCCAAAGCCTTGCTGTCTCACCTCTTAGGTCACACTGCTACAAATAAACCTGTTGCGTGGTTACCCTTAAGAGATGCAATTCAGCCCAGGTCTTCTGCCTTTGTTCTCTGCACTCTCCTTGCCAGAAATGACAAGTGCTTGGAACCATCTAGCTCAATCCTGGAGGAGCCTGGCGTTTGAAAAACTCCTTATTGACAATTTTAATTTTTTGTCTTCCATTTCTAAAAAAAAAAAGAAAGAAAAAAAGTCTTCTCTCCAAGCTCTGGGTACACTGCAATAACAAGAGGATTTAGAAACAAATTGCTTTCAAGTCAAGTTAAATCACTGCAAACACTCATTTATCCAAACGCTGGTTAACAAATGTGCTTCCCTCCCACCTTTTCTAGAAAGGGTAGGGAAGAAGGCCACCTGGTTACCTAGTTTCAGAGTTTGTAACTATGAGTATAAAATGCGTTTGTGGGATCCTTAGCGCCCCCCCTCCATTTCCGCTGCGCTTAGTGCCCAGTGAACGAGGCGAATATGCACTATCACTCTCACACACCAACCAAGACTTTTATGAACATTGATTTTGATGACCTCCCTCCAAATCATCACTGCTTTCCCCTTCTGCGTCAGGATGCAATATGTTTTGGCCCAGATGGTTGAAGCTCCTGGAGGGGACATGGGGGTTGGGGGCGCAGGATTGCTTCTCCCTTTGAGTTCCAGGGATGGGGTGTCCAGGGACACAGTATTACACGAGATCCTGCATTTCAAAGAGGTCCTCAACCCACCACCCAGGCTATTTATATGCTCATGGCCTCACTAAATTCGGGGTCCACCAAAGAGAGAATGAAAAAGAAAAAGGTTAGATGGACAAATCGGCTTGCTTGACACAGCAAGGGGGGGAAAATAAACCAGTTACCCTTCAGAGGCGCTTTCAAAGGGCAAACTGAAAGTGGTGTTTTGTTTTATGGGTGACAGGGAGGGGCTGTTTAACGGTTTCAGGTTGAAGGAGGCAAAGAAAGCTCTCTCAATGCCACTATCTGAATCTTGATCCCCAGCAAAATGCTCTTGCAACTGCTCTTGGCTGGAGTTACCCAGAGGGAGGCGGGACCCTTTCGTCACCTTGCCGGTTCCAGGGCGCCTCGGAGACTACAAGTCAGACAGGCGAGGCCTCCAGAGGACCTCGGCCGGTGTCGCTAGCGCGGATACAGGCCTTTGCGACCCAAGAAATCCTGCAGAGCCCCCAGCAGGCGAGCCCTGTGCAATGAGAGCTCCCAGCAAATTCCTCTGGCTTGCCCTACGCCGCTTCTGCCGCTAGGAGGCGCTTGTAACCCACGTTTGCGGAGAGAGTCCCGGTTCAAACACGGCCGCTACGAGTAACACACACACGCGCACACAACACCAGCTCAAGCGTTACAGCGGATGCAGTGATTATTTATTTACAGGCAAATCTGGCCATCTCTCCACGTCCTCATATCCACCTCTGGAAGCTCTCCGGCTCACGCCGAACGCCCCAAGTCCGCTCAAACTTCACCTGCCTTCCGAGAACAAAAAGCTCCTCCCCAGTTTCCGGATCTGCATTGTCATTCAGCCGCAGGGCTCTCACCCGCGGACACGCACGCGCGCGCGCGCACACACACAAGTGTTTCCATACTTACGAACGAAAACATTAGAAAATTACCGTCATTTTAAAAAATGCCCCAGGATTCTGATGAGTCAGCTTGAAGAGCTCGAAACATGTCATTTCAATCTTGCAGCTCTGTAGGGAAAGAGAGGGGAGGGAGCGTGTGTGTGTGCGTGCGTAAAAGTACAGATGCAATCCCGTATTAGTATTCAGATAAACTGTCATCTCCTTGTCATTGATCCACAGGTCCTTTTGTAAAGTGCCGCTGCGTTCTCCGTCGCAAGACGTGACGCTAAAATCATTTTAGCTGCAGCGGTATTCGCTTGGCTTTGGCCAGTCATCGGTTTACTGCAGCTGGAAAAGGGTTAGCCATTTCATCGGGCGTCCTTTCCTTCTAATCGCTCAAAGGAGGACCCATCACCACGAAATAGCTTAGGGCGGAGG